GCACACAACACACACACACACACACACACACACACACACACACACACACACACACACAGAGAGAGAGAGAGAGAGAGAGAGAGAGCATCAGTCACTTGCCTCCACTGTCAATGCATTACCTGTCACATCTGTTTTTGCGAGCGTACCCACAACAGGTACCTTTGTTGCAAATGTGACATTCGGATGGGCATGCAGACCATCTTGGTTTTGGCGTCCAGATGAGGGATGGCTGGATGCCTCTCTGGATCAGGGGAGAATGGGAGAATTTGTCTGAGAAATTGAGGGCACTGGCTACCTCGTGCTTGGCTTCTGCGATGAGGCCGCGAAATGTGCTGACCGTTGAGCGTCAAAACGAAACGAACGAGAATGCCATGCTGCTCTTGTGAGGACTTAGCATTGCTTGATGATGTTTGTGCTTCTTTGATCATGTGTTGCTATGGCCATCGCTGTTGGTGCTCACTAGGCAGGATGCTCCTCCTCACGGAGCATAAGTTTTCTTTCCTTCTTTGCTCGATTATGTAATCAATCGCTTATCTTACTTTGCGTTCTACCCACTGTAAGAGTTTGAACTTCACAAGACCGACCATACAATACATAACCCTTGAACTTTCGGCGATCATGTTTTTCACCTGATTTTTTGTTACTCATGTCAGCATTCTCACTTCTGATATCTCCAGCTGTTTTCACAAACAGCCTTCTTCAACTTACAGAACGTTCCGCTACTGACCCTGAAGATCAATGGCAAACAATAGCACTTCGTGTCCAGCATGTCTTGCTGCGTGCCTTGTCAAGACTGCTGCTGCTGCTGTGGGAGGAGCTGGGGTGCACGAGTTGGGAAGGCATTAGATTAAGAAAAACACTCGGATCTGGGCTTGTCATGACCATGGGGTTCGACCAACGGGCCTAGGTCAGTTGGCGCACTCCTGAACTGCGGAAATATAGGCTCAAGTCCGAATCCAGATACCTTCAGATGAAGGACCATAGCATTCGCCCAGGAAAGTTGTCTTTTTGTTTTGCTTGATGTTTGGCTTATCTGGGTTTGTGTCTGAGTTGGTCCATAAATCCCCATGTGCGCAGCCCATGCGGCTGAGTTGTACACCGATGGACTGTTGAGAAATACAGACCTGAGTTTGAAAAGCGATGGAAGTAGAGTAAAAGAATTCCTAAATACCTGCGCCCAGGCAGTTCGACAATGATACCTCAAGGCCAGCACCCTTTATTTTTCATTTAAAAAAGAGATCCGGCTGTCTGAATGCCATCCATTCGTGGGTCCGAATGATGTCCAGGTGGGCCAGCCATCTGGTGCTACCATGGTCCCTCCGCTCCAAACTGCATGAGTGGAGAAAAGTCGCTCGAACTTACCTTGTGTGTGAAAGCATCGGTTTAGCAGGGTTGCAAGAAACTTAGGAATGAGAAGAGAGCGCAAGTGTCCTCGTCTGTGTGTGTATGAGCTGGTTGTGGCATACCGAGTTCCACACGGGCCCGATAGGGCCCGACCATGTAGGCTAGGGGTTAGTAGAGTTAGGTCTGTGTTGTTTCGGCCCGCATTAGGGCCTGTAGGGCCTGTAGGTTAGGTTAGGCCGACCGGTACCAGTTAGCGGCCCTGTAGGCCTCGTTTCGGATTCAGGCCCTGACACACATTTTGGGCGCCAGACCCTGACCCAGAGGCTGTGCCGTTTCAGTAGGCACTTTGTGGTTGAGGCTCAGCCTCAGTTTGGGCGGCCCAGCCTCAGTTTGGGTGTCAGACTCGGCCGCTGAGGCCGATCCAGCGCTGTACATAGCTGGGTCCAGCCTCAGTCCGGCATTCAGTAGAGGATTGATTGGAGGTTCTCTTCAGACGGCATCAGGGTAGTATTAGTCTAGGATAGGGCAGTAGTCTTCCAGCGCTGGGCGCTGAAAGGACTTAGCGCAGAGAGAGGAGAGAAACTGTGGCGGAGGCCAGATGACTTACCTGAGACTCGTCGGCGAAGCCATCGCTCCAGCTTCGTCTTCAGCACATCCGTACCAGCATCAAGGCGCCACCTTTTGCAGGTCAGTACCTGGTACAGAGAGAGAGAGATCTTCTTCCTCCTCCAGTCCACCACCTTCTTCTTTCCCCTCCAGCACTCTGACTTCTTCTTATCGGGCTATGAGAGAGAGAGAGAGAGAGAGAGAGAGAGAGAGAGAGAGAGA